AAAACAACAACAATTCCAAACCTTTGTCTTTTAGACCTGCAGGTAGTTTAATTTCATATAAATGGAAATGCATATAATAATAGTGAAGGACTGTTTTCTTCTTAATTTACAGCGTTGGCAGAAAAGTTTGCAGACATTTTCTTCCTGGTGGACAGTGGCATCAGTCAAGCAGATTTCCAGCAGGTCAGAACCATCCTGGTCCGACTGGTCAATCAACTCAACATTGGAGCTTCTGGCAACCGTCTCGGACTGGCCCAGTACGGTACGGTTACCAAAGTGGAGTTTCTCCTTAATGCTTTCCAAACCAAAGAGGCGGCGCTCACTGGTGTAAGGTCCTTCCGCCAGAGCCGACTTAAGCCCAATCAGCCACGCAACCTGGGCAGTGCACTGGAGTACGCCAGCTCTAATTTCTTCACGAATGAATCAGGAAGTCGGGCATCCCAAGGCTTCCGACAGTTTCTGGTTGTTCTAAGTGGAAAAGACTCAGATGATCCAGTTTTTAAGCAGACACGTCTGATCAAATCACTAGGCGTAACTATCGTGGGAGTGAGCTTCGGTGCATCAATGGACGAAATGCGTGTAATAGCCACGGCGCCGTACGTGTACGAGTCTACCTTCAATGCAGTGCCCACTCTAAAGACCATTTTTGAAAGAGAGGAAGAGGAGATCACTCTCACTCAAGGTGAAAAGTCTTTACTTTCATTATTGTTGTCATCAGTCATAAAATCAACTCCTGTGCATGTTTGAAAAAGGTGTTTTACAAAGGTTATTCACAAAAGAACAGTCACGTAAATTACCTGTTTTATTACCTTTAATCTTGATGATAAACTTATCCTGCTGGAAACGCCAGCATGCTGTGGCGAGAACATCTGGGATGTCTTCATGCTTCCATATTTTCACCCCAGGACATCAAATATTTTAACATTTATTTTTACTTTCACGTTTTCAGTCTGTTAGATGCAGATTGACCTTCCCTGCAGAGAAATCACAGCCTTCCAGTCAGATGAAGTCTGTTGTTGTGAGAAAGTCACAGTTTTATCATATGCTAGCTTTAGACAGTGCAAACACAAGGTGACAGTTTGTGTTAAATGTACCACTTCACA